AGCAGGGAAAATTTGAACTAGAGTGCATGGCGTGAAAGCAACACCAATTGAAAAGGATTGTGTGACTCAGATCAAAAGAAATAATTTATTTAATAAATATATAAATATATATACATATATATTTTAATCCACTCTGTCAAAAATGTGCTTAACAGCCCTAGTGTACCACACATGGATCAAGAGAAACAGAAGGATTTTCTAAAAGAAAGCCATCTCTGCAATCTCACTTCTTCACCAAACTCTGGATTCTGTTAGAGTAAAAATCATAGTCTCTTCTATTAGCGACACATCTAATGCTTCAAAGATTGCAGCAGATTGGGATGTTCCTGATTCCATTATTCGACCACCAAGGAAACCACCAGACATCAGCAACTGATGTGCTATTTTGCCGAAGTCTTGTTCCTGTTACCGAAAATTGTGGCAACATATGGTTATAGCTGTTATGTTGTTTGTGCTTTTTGGGCTGCTACGTTTGTTGTGCCTTTTGGGCTGTTATTTCAATCTACTTTGTATTCTGGGCTTGGCCCATTGGTTAGCTATGGCTAACCTTTCTTAATCTAATTTAACTTTAACTTTCAAAAAAAAAAAAAAAAAAAGGTTCACAAGATTATAGAATAAGGAAAAAAAATCAAAAAAATAAAGAAACCTATACTGTTTTGCTAAGAACACAAAATGTATGTTATTTCTATCTATTGGTCTGTTTTTCACTATCAAAAAAATGATTCTCTTTACTATAAAGTCATGAAAAGTGCTATTGCATGCACCAGTAAGTTCTATTTTTTTTAATAAGATTTAATAATTTCAAAGAATGTTTAGTTTCTTCAATTTGACATTTAATCAAACAACTGATTTGCACACAATTTCTCCTCAAATACACACAACATATACATCTTAATTGCATGCACTAGTAAGTCATATTCTCTTAATAAGATTTAATGATTTCAAAGAATGTTTAGTTTCTTCAATTGGGCATTTAATCAAACAACTGATTTGCACACAATTTTTCCTTAAATACACACAACATATACATCTTAAATTACCATTTTTATAAACAAAGTCTCTTGCTTTAGAAAATGAAAAGATTATTCTGTAGATAGAGAAGACCTAAAAATATATGTATAAGCATGTAAATTGAATATATATAGAGAGAAAGAGATAGAGTGTACCGTGTAAATTAAATCAGGCTTTGTATCTTGTTGCAAATGAATTCATCCTGTACGATCTCTTGGATTTTTTTCACTCGTGCAAACCCTCCCCTTCAGTCATACAGAAATCAATTCATTGAGTGAAGAGATTATATTATTATAGAAGGAAAATTTGGTATTTTAGAATAAGAGTTTAAGGACATTTTAGACCTAAATTATAATTGTTCATCTATATGTAATTATTTTTCCTAATTCAATCAAAGTGAAAATTAGACTTTAAAAATAGACCACTTTATAATTTAGAACCCTTAACTCTACTTAAGTGTAGTTTTTTCTAGAAAATATTTTTTACTTTCTAGTTTTTGGTTGTCGTAAAAGATTTATGAAGAAAAAAAATATTAAAATCTAACAATAATAACTTATCCATCAATTTTTAACAAGTTATTTTACACGTTTCGCCAGATGGCCTGTACCTCGACCTCAACCTAAACTTAAATCTTTACCAAAAGATAAAAACATTTTACTTGAAAAAAAAAAATTTATTTTCGAAAAAAATATTTTACTTTTTAAGAAACTGAGCCTGTATATCTCTTTAATATCTATTACTGTATATGTTTTGAATTTGCATCACTTCATTGATTAGAATATAATATAAAATAATATAAAAGAAAAAATTAGAGAATATATCACCCTTTTAGTGTAATTTTTGTGCATGTACGGAGAGAGAAATTTTAAGATGTAAATTATAATTTTCCTTAATACCAAAAGTTAATTACAATATTCATTAGGTCTAATGAGGTTAATGCTAGAGAAATACAGTAGTTTCAGCTTTGCAGGGATGTAATGATGTATACTATGCAGATGCAGGCCACCCTTTTTGCCGCAGGTAACAAACACCACCTTTTTTTCTCGCAAAGCAAATAAATGGCGGGAGTTGTTCGTCAAACTATTGTCATGTATATAGAGAACTTTTTAAAGGAATCGTTTCCTTTATTTGTAATTTTAAAAATAATTTAATGTTAAAAAAAAATTATTTAAAAAAAATTATTCTCTACTTTTTAAATTACAATCCATTTTCTTGTTCATGTAAATAACTCGAATAATATTCTTATAGGTGGTGATTGGGTACTGTTTTGCACCTTGCCATAGTCTATTAAATTAAATAGTTTACTAACAATAACTATTTAATTAAATAATATCCCATTAGCCTCCATCAACTGTTTCAACATTCCACAGACTATCATCTGCTTCATAAAAACACTAGAACATAATAATCAAACCCTAGCTAAAATAACAGTTAGTAGTGCCCAAACTCACTAAATTTCCATGCAAATCAGGATTGAGAGAGTTAAAAAGGTTGAAGATGAGACATCATGTGTGAACTCAATAACTTCCAAAAAATAAAATTAAAAAAATACAGAAGTTAATTAAAGAAACCAAAAACAACATCAAACACCAAATCCAGAAATTCCAAAGTGTTCGTTCGATCATATACAAAGCAGCAAACACACCTACACCTAATTCAGTCCTCTAAAAACACCGTCTCAAAACGAGGTTAACCACTGGCTACGAAACTCAATCGGCGGTGGAATCAGAGACGGATCCTTCATTTCCTCCGTCTTCAGCTTCGGAATCGAAATCTTCAGAACACCAGCCTTCATGTACACCTTCATCTGGTCGCTTTTGTAGAAACCAGGAGGAATAGCTATGACGCCGGAGTATTTCCTGGCTAATTTGTTCTCGTTCTCTTCAGGTTCTCTCTGATCTGCTTTGCCTTCAATGTGGATGGCATCGTCTCTGATCTGAACATTCAGACCTTCGTTGCCGATCCCAGGCATGTCCACCCTCACGATGGCCTCAAGCTCGTATTCATCAACATTGCACATCATTCTGAGACCTTTCATCAGATATGGATTTTGATATTGCGCTGCTGAAGTGCTCTTAAGAACTATATATATGTATGAAATGAATCAGAAACTGAGTGAAGAAAGTAACAGATTGAGAAGATGGGTGAGTACGAGTTGTTAACTTTTCCTCGAGAGGAGCCAGAGCAAGTGTGGTCGTTGGAGTCGGCAGATGAGGAGGAGGAGCTGAAGGATAGAGAACGGCCGGCGAAAGGAGAGGCGGCCGCCGTCAACAATCGTTTCAATCGGAGAAGATTTGCGAGAAAAGGCATTTGGAGGCCATTGATGTGATCTATTCGTGAATGCAACTACTCTTTCTCTCTCTATCTAGGGTTTTATGAGGTTTTGACAGTGAGAGAAGGGATATAGGATGGAGAAGGTAAGAGAGAGAGGAGAGGGCACACGTGTCGTTTGACAGCGGTGTCCAACGGGTGAGGCACTTTCCTGTAACACTCACGAGTTGGTTCGACAAGCCATCGTGATCGTCCGATTTGTTTATGATTGGTGATGCTAATTATCCAACAAATTCGAAGTGAAATGAAGTATCTCATCTCCTCTTTAGAGATCCAAATCCACAAGGATATTGCATAAAATTGAATTTTCTTTATATATACTCCGTATTACAATTTTATGGGCGCGCGCGCACATCTATATATATATATATGTATATATATATATATATATATATATATATATTTTTGAAGCACATCCTTTATTCTCAAGCACATAAGGCTAGCAATTCTAAGCGACAATTGGTATTACTTTTAGGATCCGTTTGGCATGCGTTTTATTTTAGGCATTTTGTTTTTGGCTAAAACAGAAACAGTATTTTTACTATTAGAGTTGTTTTGGCAAAAATCGAAAACACGTTTTGGAACGATATTTTGTTGTGAAATTATCGGAAATAGAAATATGAAAAACATGTTTGGTATGCCATGCGTTTCAAGAATTTTGAAAACAAAACATGTTTGGTAACTTCAACTGTTGTAAAAAAAAAAAAAAAAAAAAAAAAAAAAAAAAAAAAAAACCACAAACAAAAAACACGTTTGGTTATCATTTTTTTTAATTTATTTTTATAAATTTTAAATATATTTATAAATTTATTTTTATATAAATAGTATATATATTTTAATAAATATATTGAAATTTGAACACACAAACATATATATATATATATATATATATATATATATATATATATATATAATTTGACATGTAGAGTTCCATCTTTTTACTGTGTTCTTATGATCTAGATATTAAGATCACCTTTTTCGTTTCTAATCCATCTATTTGGAGTCAAACTTCACAAAACATCTATCAAGGAGTCATAACATAAAAAATAAAAATAAAAAAAAAGCACCATGCTATCATACTCATTCTTCTGTATCAGGAAAAATGACAAAGAAATTGAGAACAAATTAAACAGTAGATTAAATTAAACAGAAGATATAATTCAAAGTTCAAACACAATTCACTTCATTGTTTACAAATTTCAACAATAGGATTCAAAAACAAAGAAAAAGATGCTTAACAAATAAAAAGATGTTTCCTTATGTTTTCTTTCACCGTTAGGAAAGTATCAGAAAAACTCAAAAGATCTTACAGGAGACATACTTAAAAAAGTACAAATTTCACTTCCATGGAACAAGTTTCAATAGTAAGACACGTCATCTTCATAACAGCACACATCACCTTTAAGAGAGTATCAACACACTTCGTATCTGCAATGGTAGAATTTAAGTTCAAAAATATTAACAATAATAGCAGCCAGTAATAGTTAAAGCAAAATAGTAACAACAAAAATGATATATAGTACATATATATATTACAAGCCCACAATAACAACAAATATATTACATATAAAAAAAAAAAAAAAAACATACTATCAGTTTCAGGAAGATCAAGAGTGCCCAAGAGAATTCCAAATTCGATCAACAATAGTATTACGCAACTAATCCATTTCTCGAAGCTGAGCCGAAAGCAGATGCTCAACAATCTCATCGTCTTCACCATCACTTTGAGGAGGATCGTCACCATCAAATAAATCATCAGGCTGATATTGATTTCTAATGAAGTTGTGTAATGTGCAACAAACCATTGCAATCAATACTTGTGTTGAAAACTTATAAGGAGGCATTGCCTTCAAAATAACGAATCTCATCTTCAACAACCCAAAGCTTCGCTCAATTATATTTCTCAAAGATGAATGCGTATGATTGAACACTTCCTCCCGACCACGGGGTGGTCTACTCCTACGGTATTCCTGAAAGTCGTAAGTATGACCTCGAAATGGGGCCAAATAACCAAGCTTATTGGCATACCCTGAGTCCACCAAATAATACTTACCTGCAATGTTAAGAATACGTAAAGATATGTACACTATGATAAACTAACCATACATTAAGTGAATTTGTAAGATAATAATGCCTGGTGGTGGAACTGGAAAGTTCATTGCCTCATTCCCAATACACTCTTTTAGAATTCTCGAATCATTAGCGGAGCCTTCCCACCCAGCTAGCACATATGTGAATCTTATGTCAAAGTCACATACAGCCATTACATTTTGTGTGGTATAACCCTTTCTACCCCGAAATGGAAGTTGTGTAGCTATTGGCAGAGTTGCAGGAATGTGGGTTCCATCTATAGCTCCCATACAATGCTTGAAGTAAAGGTAAAACCTAGAAGAATCTTTAATCTTATTCGGAATCACAGAAAAATTAAGAGGGGCAATGAAATGGGTGCCCAACTGACATACTGCATGCAACACAGCATGGAAGTGTCTGGAAATGGTTTCAGTGGAGTGTTGAAATCTCTCTACTACAACACGATTCATTTGATTATGTGATAAAGTGAGCAAAAAGATTGCCACTTATTCATATACAGTTAAAAATTTAGAATCCTTCAGCCCTATACCTTTCAGGGTACTATGTTCTGAAAACTTTATGGTACATCCTAAAATTTTCATAACATCTTTCTCTATGGCCGTTTAGAATCTCCATAACATACGCTTCCCCTTGTAAAATTGAATCCCTACAACGGCTCTTTTGATAGAAGTTCTACTCTTCTAAAATAGCAGCAAATATTAAGACACTCTCATTGTCATCCTCATCATCATATAATTGAATTATTCTTCTTATATTGTTCCACATATCCATTGCCCTATTTAAATATTTAAAATAAGCAAAGCATTTAAGTTAATAAGCAAATGAATTAAATAATAAACAAAATATTTAAATAATAAAACAAACATTTAAATAATGGTATTAAAGCATTTGAGTAGTGAAGATGCAAGATTTCATTTCTCCTCTCTTTTCCTATCTCTCTCTCTCTAGAATTTTCCTCCCCCATTACAAAAGCATTTAAGTTAATAAGCAAATGAATTAAATAATAAACAAAATATTTAAATAATAAAACAAACATTTAAATAATGGTATTAAAGCATTTGAGTAGTGAAGATGCAAGATTTCATTTCTCCTCTCTTTTCCTATCTCTCTCTCTCTAGAATTTTCCTCCCCCATTTTCCACCTGTAATGGTCTATTTATAGGTCATCACACTTATTACTGTTAACTGATTACATTGGGCCTATATTCAAAAGTTCTCTTCCTTCTGGGCTTGATCTTCCAATGGGCTTGGCCTTCCTCGGTGGATCCCCCAGGTTCGGCCCATTCCAGGGCGCTTTGGCATGGATCCTACTTTAATCATTCGACCCGATCCCGTTTCAGCGAACTATATCCGGCCCATGCCACTTGCCGCATCCTCAACTGCCCCCATAATTACCCCTTATTGATTAAGGGGTAATTATTAGAGGCTGCTAATGATGACCTGACGGCTCGAGAAGATCGTGTGGGAGAATGGACGGTTAGATTTAGGGGTCGGCGTTTCGAGATTCAAAAAAAAAAACTCATCGTTTTCCTGACTCCTCGGCCCTTGGGCTCACCTTGTCTTTATAAGCTTCATAGATTCTCCATCGATCCTCTTTACCGTCTCCATCTCACCTTCTGCTGTTTGAATCCTCTCCGGCGATCTCTTGCGAAAGATCCTCCTTCCAGTGGCTTTGCAGTACTTTCTGCCGTTTTCACTCTCTAAGGTTAGTTTCCTTTGCATTTTTCGTTTGGAAGACTTCTTTCTCCTCCTCAGAATCTTCATTCACTCTCACCATGACAGTAGATCTAGACGTCTTCGCATGAAACTTCACCTCCCTGACGATGTAGAAATTAGAAACTGCCTCCGAGAGGTGAATATTAGAACCGGTGCTGGCCTTCTTCCCGGCGAGGTCCTGTTTTCACTCCTCCATCTTAATCTCCTTAGGTTTCTTTTGCATCCTTTCTTTTGCTATGTTTTCAACAAGCTAAATCTTTCCCCTTTGCAAGTAAACCCCAATTTCCTTAGAATTTTATCTGTTATGCTATTCCTGATTCGTGACAGAGGTCTGGATCTGGACCTCGTAGATCTTCTCCTCTGTTACAAGGTCAGCAAGATCAGAACTGATGAACCGTTTTACCACTTTTTCCCCATTGAGAAGAGGTCCATCTGCACGGATAAAATTAAATCCGAGAAGGGCTGGAGGAAAAATATTATTAGGGGAGCCTAGTTCTCTCCAGCTGCAGAGGATTTCCCTATCCCGAGCGCTTTTGGAGAGTGTTCTGTCTCTTTTTACAAGAAATATAAAAACCATAAGAGCGACTGTCCTTGCGAGATTTGCATTCCTCGTTTTTGTACTTTCTTGTGCCATTCCTTAGGTATTCCTTGTGATGATTTGAGTTACAGTGTGTGCAGGGATAGGGATAACTACCTGAAGCGGTACGTTCTGACCAACGTTCCCTCCTGCTCGGACCTTCTCACCTTAGACAATCTCCTCGATATCTCAGTCCTCGGCAAGACAATGAGCCAACTCCAGATCCCTTCCTTCGGCAGGAAGAAAACTGCCCCCAGGCCTGCTATCACCCTTGCATCAAATTCCTCACCGGCTTCAGCAACTTCCTCCGCTACCCTTTCTGATACCACTCCTTCCACCGATCCATCCGTGACGGCTACTGACCCGGTCGCTAACACGGCGACTGCCAGTCCGAACGTTACCCCTTCTGTCAATAATCCTCCTGGTTCTACTACTGCTTCCGCACGGGAAAAGGCCAGAGGAAAAAGGCATCAACCTGACAGTGCCCTCAGCATAGATGACGTTCCCTTGTCTCAGAGGGTTAGGCCCTCTGGGCCAAATGTGATATCCCTAGCGAGACCTCCTCAAACTAGGCTCCCTACCCCTTCTAGGCATGCCTCCGCTTCAGGAACGGCGCCATGGAGCCCTCGCTTTATTCGAACAGACGGATCGTCTGTAAAACCGACCGAGACCATGTTCAAAGATGGTCAGACCGCAATGGTTTACTACAGGAGTATGTGGACTCCTAAGGACATCGAGGTAGCCAAAGGTCTATCTCAGAGGGAGGTGTTCAGCCGATTTCCCTTGTCCGCCATGGAGGTAACTTTTGCCCCTTAGTCAATAAATCTTTACACACTTTTTACACTTATTTTCTTCTAACCATCTGCTCGGCTTAACCAGTTATCCTGTATATCTCTACAGACCTTGTACGGGATGATGGCTATGCAGAAACAAGTTGAGCATGTGAATGCCAAGGTTCGCGCGCTTTCTGACAGCCTTAATGCAGCGAACAAGGAGAACGATGATTTGGCTGCTCAGAAGACCAGGTTGATGGTTCAGCTTGGTAAGATTGAAAAAGAGAGGGATTCACTAAGGAAGGAGACTGACTCTCTTCAGGATGAGAGGAATGCTCTGCAGCTTGAAAAAAGCGTCTGGCATACCGAGCGGGAATCCCTTAAGGCTGAGAAGGAAGAACTGCTACGCCTTCTGAGTGATGAGCAATCCGCTCGGATGGCCTTTGAGAAAAGGGCCTTGGACGAGCACAACGCTTTACTTGATACCATCAGCAAGGTAAATGGTGGTATGCTAGCTCTGCATACTTGGTTTTCTAGAGTTGGAGCCCTCAGATATGCTCAGGGGTTCCGAGAGGGTTACGCCGATCGCGTTTCGGATGAGGGTCAGACTGGTTCTACCCCTGATAATGTTGATAAAAAACTGGATATTGACCCTCCTGGTGTTTATACCGATCCAGACTCCACCGCTGCAGAGGGCATATTTGATGAATGTCAGGAGATTGCGTCTTCTCGGATCACTCCTACTCCTCCTGCTGCTCTGACTTTGGACATTCTTCCTCTGTTCACCTTGACTCCATCTGCTGTTACTGCTGAAGATAACCCTCAGTAGAATGATTCTTCCAACGTTGTTAAGGGTAGGACTCAACAGAACGATTCTGTCATTCACCTCGACTCTCCACCTCGTGAGGACGGCGACACCACCAATAATGAGGAGATAACCCAACATCACCAAGAGGCTGACGAGGCAAAAGCCACTTAGTTAGAACTTTTTTTTTTTTAAATGTACTAACTTTGGTATATTCGCCATCTTTACACCTCATTTCTTTTTGTAACTCTCTGAATTTTGTTAATGAGATGGCCGACTTTTGATCAAACTTTTTATGTAAACTCCCCTTTTTTTTTCTTTTTTTTTTTCCTTTTTGGCAAGTGTTTGGCGTTCGGCTTATAGTGCCAACTGCCACTAACTTTGCTAAGGCGCCTGGCGCTCGGCTGGAATGCCACTTATCACTTGACCTTTAATTTTTCTTAGCAAGTGTTTGGCGTTCGACTCTAGTGCCAGCTGCCACTTACTTTGCTTAAGTGCCTGGCGCTAGGCTGGAATGCCACTTGCCACTTGGCCTTTAATTTTTCTTAGCAAGTGTTTGGCGTTCGGCTCATAGTGCCAGCTGCCACTTACTTTGCTTAGGTGTCTGGCGCTCAGCTGGAATGCCACTTGCCACTTGGCCTTTTATTTTTCTTAGCAAGTGTTTGGCGTTCGACTCATAGTGCCAGCTGCCACTTACTTTGCTTAGGTGCCTGGCGCTCGGCTGGAATGTCACTTGCCACTTGGCCTTTAATTTTTCTTAGCAAGTGTTTGGCGTTCGACTCATAGTGCCAGCTGCCACTTACTTTGCTTAGGTGCCTGGCGCTCGGCTGGAATGCCACTTGCCACTTGGCCTTTTATTTTTCTTAGCAAATGTTTGGCGTTCGGCTCATAGTGCCAGCTGCCACTTACTTTGCTTAGGTGCCTGGCGCTCGGCTGGAATGCCACTTGCCACTTGGCCTTTTATTTTTCTTAGCAAGTGTTTGGCGTTCGGCTCATAGTGCCAGCTGCCACTTACTTTGCTTAGGTGCCTGGCGCTCGGCTGGAATGCCACTTGCCACTTAGCCTTTTATTTGTCTTAGCAAGTGTTTGGCGTTCGGCTCATAGTGCCAGCTGCCACTTACTTTGCTTAGGCTTTTAAAGAGGAGTGTAATCTTTATAATTCTCAGAAACTTATACATTCGACTGTTTTCAATTTAAAATGAACAAAATTCAGTATTGAATCTCAACTTTTTATTGATAATACCTCTTCAGAGAAGTAGCATTCCAAGGCTTGTTAACCAGCCTTCCGGCCATGGTTTCTAAGGTATATGCCCCTTTTCCTATGGCCTCTGTAATTCTGTATGGGCCTTCCCATGGTGGCATCATCTTTTTGACTATCCCCACCTTCTTTTTCAGAACCAGATCACCTGGCCTAAAGTCTCTGTGTTTTACTTTCCTGTTATGGCTGTTCGCAAGCGTATGCTGGTAAGATGCGAGCCTTACCGCTGCTGTGTCTCTTTTTTCTTCCAGCAAATCGAGGTTAAACCTTAACATACTGTCATTATGCTCACAGTTCCATGCCAAGCTTCGAACAGTCGGAACTAAATGCTCGACTGGTATAACTGCCTCGGTTCCATACGCCGTGGTGAATAGGCTTTCTCCGGTCGGTCGTCTAGGGGTCGTTCTGTAGGCCCATAGGACGTTCAACAGTTCATCTAACCATCTTCCTTTCCTTTCCTCTAGTTTCTTCTTGATACAAGTAAAGATTGTTCTGTTTGTAATTTTCGCCTGTCCATTGGCCTGTGGGTGACTTACTGCCGCCAGCTTTTGATTAATTCCATATTCCTCCAACAGCTCTCTTACTTGCTTACTGTCAAGGTTGGTATCATTATCCATGACGATTGACCTCGGAACACCAAACCGGTAAATAATATTACTCCAAATGAATCGTCTCACATGAGTTTGAGTAACGCTCGGATATGGCTCTGCTTCCACCCACTTAGTAAAGTAGTCTGTAGCCAGTAGCACATACTTGTTCTGAGCTCTGGCAGTTGGTAGAGGACCAACTACATCCATCCCCCATTGTGCAAAAGGCCATGGTGTGGCCATTACATGCAAGTCTTCAGGTAGTTGGTGAATCAGTGGTCCGAACCTTTGGCACTTATCGCACCTTCTGGACAATTCTTCCGAATCTCGCGACATGTTTGGCCAAAAGTACCCTTGAGCCATTGCTTTGTGTGCTAATGATCTCCCCCCTGAGTGGTTTCCATATACGCCTTCATGAATAGCTCGTAATATTTGCCAAGCCTCTGTGAGGGTAACACACTTTAAGTACGGTCCGGAAAAAGATCTTCTGTATAACTGGTTATGCGCTACGGCGTACTTCTCAACGTTCGCTTTGATTTTCCTAGCCTCATCTCTTTGTTCAAGCAGAGTACCATCTCGGATGTAAGTTATGATCGAATCAATCCAACTTGGCTCATATGGAATAACATTCACTTGCCAAGGATCCGAGCCTGAAGGTTCTTCGAAAATGGATAGCTGGTTTAATATTCCCACTGGAATCACCCTTGCCAATGTTTCTCCAGAACTGGAGGCACTACATGCTAGCCTGTCGGCATCTTCGTTATACTCCCTCGGAATTTGAATAAATTCAATTTTTTCAAAGTTCTTCGCTTCCCGCATAACAGCAGAACGATATGCTTCCATCGTTTCATCCTTGGTTTCATACTCACCCCTCACCTGCCGAACGATTAACTGTGAGTCACTAAAAACATTCAAATTCCTGACCTTAAGTTCCTTGGCAAGCTTTATTCCTACCAGCAACGCTTCATACTCTGCCTCATTGTTCGTGGCTGCGAATTCAAGCCGA